TGTGTGTGTGTGTGTGTGTGTGTGTGTGTGTGTTTTGTTTTTCTCTGATTTTATTACAGTCTGTATTTTGTAGAGTTTATGTGTTTGCGATCCACAAAACAAATCTAATCTTGTTGTACACGATGCTATGATGACAATAAGGAACTGAGTTTAATCTGAGGTGAAACATGATTATATTGATACCTGTTTGTCAGGCTTAGTTGTTCAAAGCCAGGTTTGCAAACCCAGAATGGTGCAGAAATTGAAAACTTGAGAGGTTTGGGCTAAAAAAATACTAATTAGAGCTTTGAAATCTCCAAAATAATGCAAGTGTTTAACCAAACTGGTATTAAAAGAATGACATATTTATTACAGATATTTAAAAAGGTTGCAGATAAATTTTCAATTCAATAAATTGTGGGGGGAGCGTTGTATAAAATAGGAGTAACATGTTAATCTGAACGGATTTGTCCAAATATGCTCTGAACATTATTTATTAACTAATTATTTTTCCTTCCATGTCCTGACAGGCTGGCTCTGGTATCCCATCAGTCAGTCTGTTTGTGGTGAATCTGTATGGTCCAGCTCACACTCTGGAGATGCTGCCTCCCGACTCCCTCAGAGCCAGGTACATGTCTGTGAATTCACAATAAACCTCAATGAATTCAGACAGCACCTGTCAGAAATACTTACTCGTCACAGACACCGCCGCCTGTCGCTTGCTGCTTAAAAATATATATATATATGAAAATTTAGTATTCCTGTACACAATTGTCAGTTGCTATTCTCATGTTCYGTCTTCTGCATTGTTTCCCCCGAGCAGAGAAAGTTACATCTCCATGGTGAYCTGGATCAGCAGCACCAGACTGGCGGTGCGCTGGCTCAACAGGGCCCAGAACCAATCAGTGCTCTGCGTGTGCGAAGCCACCACGGGGGCTTGTTCTGAGGTGAGCTGCCATCACCTGTATTAGTAATCTGAAAGGCTTCTGCTGYCATTTACAGGTTTAATAGAGTTTTATATCATTCACACTTGTGGGAGTCAAAACTGATTTGCGAGGCTCCCATATTTGCTCTGACTGACTAACATTTAAGGACATTTGCTGCATGAAAAGAATAGTTAATAATTTACCTCCATGCTTCTTATTCTTTGTGATTAATACCAGTTTTTAGCCACAGATTGATGCTAATTTGAATCATCATAAGCAAAGTTAACTTTAATTAAAGCTTATTAGTCKAAGTCCCTGCATATGTTGATGTAATTTCATGATTATTACTTTTTTTTGTCTGCGTCATGAAATCGGTAGAAGCACAAAATGATCATGGACATCATGCAGAACCAGCGACAGGTAGATACTGCTTGTATGTTATGAAGTCTGTCACACATCTGCACCTTCTCCCTTTGAACTGAGTGCTTTTTGTCGACAGGTTGTGCCCTTGTTCACCTCGGACGGCTCAGTGTTTTACACCATACTGCCTGCAAAACAAGGAGCTCGAGGAGAGTTTCACCACATTGCTGGTCTTTCAGCTCAGGTCTGTTCTGTGGCAAGATTATAAATATATTTACTTTTTCTGATCATTATTTTTTATTTCAAGACAAAAGTGAGAAACTTTTATCCATGCACTGTGTATTAAAAAAAACTAGCATCTTAGAAGCTGAAAAAAAAAAAAGCCAAAATGTAATATCTGTGTGTGAAAAATTAAGTCCCCTCCTGCTTTTACSGGATTTAAGAGGAAAAGTAGCAGCCAGGTGCTGAGGATTAAAATACATTAAATTAACTGAGCATCATGGATGTGACCACCTCTGTGAAAGCAAGAGTTTTGTCAGTTTCCTGCTCTAGAGCATGTGTGTGTTCACACGAGGGTATGAATGTAGAAAAAAAAAATCAGGGATCTTAAAGAAGCAACTGTTGCAGCTCATCACTTTGGGAAGAGTTGACATTTCCTAACAAGTAAACTCTCACACCAGTTAACATGACAGAATGAACCAGTCACCAGAACCCAGCATATATA